TTCAGTTTGAGACCTCGTGCGCCCTCCTTTAATTTCAACAACAATATCATGGTACTAAATAACATCTTTCGGACCCTCGGACTAAGAGGCATTTGGAATATCGGACCCACTACCCTTCGGAATATCGGAGCCCGGCACAGCGACCGATTTTTTTAACTAGGCTCCTACAATCTTCGGAATATTGGACCCTCGGAACAATAAACCCCCGAAATATAAGGATGCCCCCGCCAAGACGATCCGGAACCAAGATGACTGTCATGGAACTACAGATGCAAGTTTCATACTTATACTCGTTACTTTGCTTGCCTTACCTTCCGTATGAAGGTTGACATCAATAGGGATGAACAGGTTCTGGATTGGCTCTAATTGGCTGATTTGAAATGAAAAGACAGATCCTCTTGTGGCCTTATTCCTATTAATTTCATGCTATTGGTTTTTTTCGCTCATACCTTGAGCATAGATGTGTTTTATGCAACGTACATGTTGGTTATATTTAATGGCACTCTCTGCGAACTCCAAAGATTACAGAATATGCATTTGAAGCCCATAAAATTATGTGTTGGCGTTTTAGTAGTTTTCTTTAGTGGTTATAGTTTTTTTATCCGTAACTCAGCTCATTTATTTCTGAGAGTTATAGGCTGAAAACATCTTTGCGGTCACTCATGCCACATATAATAAGGCCAGACGTCATCACATGTCGGTCAAACCTTTAAAGAATCCATGTAGCGGTCAGTCTTGTACGTCTTCATAGTCAGATAGACAAGCTTGGTATTTGGGTTCTTAACGCATAGCCAAGCGTAGTAGCCCTCACACCTGTTAAAGTGGATGTCGAACCTGATTTAGAGCACGCCCATAAATCTCAGTGTTATCACTCACCATGCTCGTTTTCTTGTTCCGCACGGCGGAAATGGTGGCACCCGGAGTTTCAAAGATCACTGTTAACGGCATGGGGCTGTCGATATTTAACGTGAGTTTTCTAGTGATGGCTGAAAATCGGGGTGATAAACAAGAAGCATCGATCCTCCACAAACAACACTACCGGATCCTGGACAAAACTTCAAATACAGAGAATATGTTTTTTTTACGAAACCGATCTCAATTTTAAGTTCTTGTCACTAAATGATATTTGTTTACGGAAGTATTTTTTGTCGAAAACCGAGAGTTTCTGTCGACTTTTCAACTTGATAACGTTGTCAGTGATATTGAGTAACCAGCATTTATAATAACGTGAAAGACGCAAGAACAGCTCTAAAACAGAAGCCATAAAACACATTTACCAAAAACTAACTGAGTGCTTCTTGGCTTTTTTTGAGAATCAAGAAATTGCGCGTCCACGCGTCTCTTTGAAGTTATCTTTTGTTGTAAACGTAACACTTTAGTGCTGTCTGGCGATGCTGAAATTCAAGGAATTGCACTTCCAATGATTCTTTCATTATTTTGTTTTGTTGTTAACATAACTTTGCAAAATAACCCAAATAGCCTGTACGAATGACCCAATTTTAAAAACACCTAATGCTGTCTGGCGATCGTTGAAATTCAAGGAATTGCTCTTCAATGGGTTCTTGTCCACGAAACAATTTGCTAAACAAAACAGTACCTTTCTCAAAAAGACACAGGGTTGTCTGGCGATTGTTGAGATCCAAGGGATTGTCCTTTTATGGATTCTTTCACATTGTTGTTTTGCTGTAAACGTAACACTTTGCTAAACACCCCAAGCAAAAAGGACATTTCTCTGAAAGACACAAGGCTGTCTGGCGAACGTCAAAATCTGAGGAATTGCAGTGGGTTCCTTAACAATGTTGTTTTGTTGAATATATGACACTTTGCTAAAGGATAAAAATGACCCTTTTCTCTCGAAAGCACTTAATTGAAAAAGGAATGTTTACATTTTACAGGACAACTTTGTTTCCCTGTTTCAAAATAAGTGTACCATGCATGATGCTCAAAAATTAAAAATGGCGGCAGTAAGAAATCGCACTATTCTTTATCATCACTTTAGACATTTCACAGCATTGGCGTTACTAAAAATAATACCTTGCGTCAGACTTTTGAGGTAACAGTCTTAAGAAAATGCACCGAGGTTTCAAGCAATTACTACTATCTGCACTCGCTGTTGCTTTCGATTGAAAAAAAGACCGTAATTCTGATACAACTATGTTATTTTTGTCTGCTGTTATACAAATGTGCTACTTTACTGACTTCGCTGTAGCAACCCTTCAATTAGACAAAAATGATATCGAATCGCTAATCTCCTTATGTTACGTTGAAGTAAGCGCATTTTCCTAAATCTAAGATGCAGAAAGAGTAATTTCCTGGAAAGAAGGTTGGATGGAAGTTGCGATGAGGTTGTCATATATCAGATTTAAACAACTTTCAGACAGACTGGCGTTAATAATCTCGCTTCCTATTGGGTGCGACTTGAGGTTTCTAAGAATTTATATAACTTCTTAAGGGTGCACCTCGTCTGAACTCGAGTTACATCTATCTACCAATGTTCCTAATTGACCGAAGTTATGAAAAAATAGCATTCTATTTTCTGAACAAAAACGAATTAGAACTAAGACGCTACGGGACTTCTGAAAAGTGGATATACGATTTAATCTTGAAATACATGTTCAAGCCAGATCAGAGTAATTAAAAAATGCTATAGGCTACCGATTAGAATGCCAATTTGAAGCTTGTATTCGCTATCTGTGCATACATGTATAAACGGGAATTTATCGACAAAAATAAATAAATAAATAAATAAATAAATAAATAAATAAATAAATAAAATAATTAAAAAACAGATTATATTCCCATTATTCAGAGCGCCGAAAAATGTAGGCCTGCAAAACCGTCTATTACATACCATGGTGCAACGTTTCTAGTTAGCTATTTTTTTTACTAATTATTTATCTATTTGCGCTATACATTCGCATTCGCAGATGTGAGACTGTATGATAATATGCCATGTATAAATTGCTTTCCCATGAGGGTAAAATAAACAGTGAGACTTTATTGCGAACTTAGACTTATCCACTGAAGCGAAGTGGAACACTTTTAAAAGGTCAATTTCTAATTCAGCTATTTTATCTGATACTTTGCTGCTATTTTGGTATCGATGTGTGTAATAAGAGTTGGTTAGTTTTGTAATCAACAAGATTCGATGTGACTTACAAGAGCGGGGGTGGTAAGTGAACCTAATTGCGAACAGGTGTTTAAAGTGGTGTTTTTTCACTCGCAGATTCAGAGAAAACAAGACAGAGGAGCACTTGGGGTGCCCCATCAGTCCCCCCCCCCCCCCCCCCCCACTCCCCGACTGCTTTGCCTTTTGATTCACCTGCAACAGGATTTAGTTAGACGGTGATGTTCTTGTCCAGTATTACCCCAAATATTGTACAGTATTTTGACTGTTAAAAATACCCTTCCTCTGAAGATGAATTTTATGCCCAGTTTAGTATGATCTGAGTCATTTTGGGTGATTATTAAATTCCTTTGTTGATAAAAAAGCACTGATGCAAAAACGCCCTTTCCGCTAAATTACACGTTTTACCAACAGATAAAAGCTATTATCGAACACTCGACAAAAATATATTGCTAGGAAATGCGGTATCGTTTATACATAGTGTAATCTCCGGGACAGCGATCTGCCTGGGCATCTAACTAATCTGTACTGCATCGCGTCTCATGGTAAATCCGCTTTGACTGCGTTTAAATCCTTTCCCAGCTTTGCCTACAGCAGCGATACCTATACAAGATAGTGTATACTTGAAAATAGGGAAATGTTTTGTTTATTTTAGTTAACAGATCACGAATTTCCCCCCTGATTATGTGTCTGTCTGGTTTCTCTCGGTTTTGCCATGTCTTATCTTAGCTGTGATAGCTATCCTTTCGAAAGGGGAATTCAGATGCACTCCGAGGACTATAAATGAAAAATTTATGTGTTTTATGGCTTCTGTTTTAGAGCTGTTCTTACGTATTTCACGTTATTCTATAAACATCATAATATCCATGCAGACGCTTGATGAATGTTTCACGCGGAACCCACATCATTTTAAGTATGCCGTTACCATTAAAAAAAAAACACATTGCGACAAACTTTTAATCGGAAAAATATTGCGATACCCCGTAGACAGACAACGGTAAAGAACTCAATACACAGCTTATCAATAATGCATACACTTCACTCTTTTAGCATTTTCACGTGGTTTTTACTTAGACACATGCTAATCGGAAGGGTCAATCTCCTCGTCGATATTTTCCCCTCTGGAAACAAAAATGTACCTACTTTCTGATCAGATCCTTTCGGGCAGTGTTTGAAAAATCTTTTGCGAGGGCATTTGCACCCGCGAGCTTCGTACACTTGTTGCTGCTGCATTTTTTTTCAGTACAGAATTATCGATGGGCAACAAATGTGTTTTCTAACGCACATTTCCTATTGAACTCATGCGTATGACATACATTTATCAACCATTTCCTTGCGGCAAAAGTGTCTTTTGTGCACAGATGAGCATAATCTTTTGACAAATAGATCAAAATATACTGCTGTGTTGGAAGATGAAAGTATCAGATTGGGTACAATTGACCTAGGCAAAGAAAGCATTTTACAGGTGCTGTCCTTTCTTGTGAAAATCCAATTTATGTAAACAGCCTATCGCGATGTCCTATTTATAAAAACCTTAATGATAACTTGAAATTACTTAATGGTGATACAGATAATATTATATATAACATTAAGGACTATGAATAATGTACCGCCCCAAGAAGACCCACTAATATGGACACGGTGTAAAAATGAATTAATTAAAGAAATAATGAATCTCAAAAAAGGAACCGCTAAAATGTGTCTGTGTTTTCGCGCTTTCTTTTGTTCTCTTTTAATCATACTCCAAAAGGAGTACAGCTGCATAACGACAAATGAATTTATTTCACCGATGCCTTTTGGATAAAAGTGTCCAATGCTTGACCGATTTTAAGTATAACTTCGTCAGCCTAGAGCACAAAGTCAATTAACTTACCCGAATGCGTTCCCCTTGCAGCCACGTCTTCGGAAGTCGTAAACTGTCGCACCAGGGACATTCTTCCTACTCCAGGGGTCCCCAGGACCGCCACCCTGAAGACACGGTCTGCCGCTGTGCTTGACGTTCGACTGTCGCGTGGCGATGCACGTGGCGAAACCGGCGGTTCGTCGTCTGCGAAAACACTGTCACTGCTTTCACCGGTTCCCAGCGTCGGCTGAGGCAGAAGCACCCTACGTTTGTAGGAGTCCCCCCTGTTGAATAAACCCTTGCGTGAAACTGTGAAATTTCTGACTCGGTAAAACTCCCCTCCTGCATCATCCGAGATGTGCCCATCGTCGTCTATGTCGTACGCGTCCGGCAGACTGTTGCGCCTTTTCTGGCACGTTTCACGGGGGACTTCAAGGTGTCGTCTGCTGGGTTTTCTGCAGGACTGCGACCGCCACGTAGGCTGCTTTCTTTGCAGACGGGTCGCAGGTAGCAGGGGGCTGCGACTTCCAGAGCCGCCAACACTCCCGTGATGCGCCCGTCTTATACCCGGCGACAAGCCGAGTCTTTCCCGCGCTGAGTACTGCGGCGGTGCCAGGCTGTCGGCGCTGGAGGACGATCCGCGACTGGAATTGGGACTGTGTTCGACAACCACCCCCTCGTCGACGCTTGGTCGTGGCGAACGTTTCCGAGAGCGATCACTGCCGGAGCGTGAGACCGGGCGAGACATGACAGGAAAAAAATGTCCACAACGGCTGTCAGCTTCCTCGTGCACAACCAGTATTCAGTGTTTTACCACTCTTAGGAAGCGATCTGTTCTCGCTGCGCTGCCAGAGCTCGATCTACCGTTACACGGCGAACATTGAGTACTTAATGCTGCGGGTAGCTTAACCATGACCTTTCGCAGATAGATAGTGACGTAGATATATGTCAATCGATACTACATAATTTTTTCAATTAAATGTTGTTTAAGCGTCCTGCCTCGTCTACGTAAGCCAATACCAATCTGTTCCAGTAAGCTCAGGGCAATCGGGGTTTATTAGGAATATAATTCTCGTGATTTGGGGCGATGGTATCTCTAATTTAAGTTACTTCGTAAATGATTGAAGGAAAGAATGTGGGAAAAGGAACAGATAGCCGAGGCAAATTGCGTTAGAGAATCAAGCAAACTGCGTCATAAAATTGTTTTATTACTTGGATATTGAGTCCTCCACAGGCAAAGAACTCCCATCTGTAGACGTACAAAGGTATAAAAGACATGGAAAAACTTTTTTTACCAATAAAGGTTCATAAAATCAAAGATTAATAATAAAAACCAACCACTTCATTGGATTTTGTGTAGTAATACAAATGAAATTCATATTGTAATGATCTTTCCAGGCTCCGACCGTTTATCCTGAGCGCAGCGATCAAATGAGCAGAAAAACACAATACGGACAACAGACAAAGGTAATGTAAGAATATATAGAAAATACACTGAGTTTTTGTAAAACATGAATACATACCCTGTATCGGTGTTCTTCGCATTAAAGATCTTGTTACTTTCCTGGAAGCAAATTTCATGAATAATAGTTGATATTGATATCACTGAACTTTTCTTAACCTCATGGTCTTGACATGTCTAAGTTGGGAAAATTGGTGTCATCTTTAATGTCAACCAGAAGGCAGGATCTGTGACATATACAATTAATACACCGCGTTTATAGGGAATCCATTATTAATTTGCTTTATTGTATTATATTACCGAGGGCGTCTGTAACCTGAGACTTGTGGCGTGTTAAGGAATCTAGTGGTCGTCTGGGAATGGCATTGGGAAATCCTAGTTCAGTATCCACTGTTCGTCACATTACATAAATGTGTGGCCAAATGTCTGATTCTGTATGATGCAACAAAGTAAAAATTCTAAATTGCCTCACTTTTGTCATATCTAAAAAATTCAGTTTATATTTGACCTGTGGGGTTGCCGGACGTTAATGTGGGGTTTAATGAGCATGATTCTCAAACGAGAAACGAGACTGGACCTCTTGTTTCTGGCACCTTGCAGCCATCTTAACATGATGTCGCCAAGCTTGTTTTAATATTAGATTGCCCAAGCTTAAAGTTATTCTATTAAAAAAAATAAAGCACTACAATCAATAAAATCATGGTATTCGTCTCACCCATAGCACTTATCCAATTATTTCAATGACTTAAAACATTGAGATATGAATATTTTCTAAAATTGTAAACCAGTCAATAAATATATATGAAGAATTTGCATAACAATATGTGGATAAGTCCAGTAAAAAGCAAGAAAGAATCAAATTCGTCAAACACAGGCTTTTAAAGCCGAATGAACGTTCATGAGCTCGAGCCGGGGGTTTGTGATCGCAAGCACCGAATGAACGGGCCAAACCACGATTTTATGGAGCGAAGGAAAAAAATCCTTGCAATCGCGAATCGTACACACGCTCGCCTTCCTCTTTGGTACGTACTGTCTGTATCAGAGAGAGTCGAGAGGGCATTATCCCTTTATTATATACGCTGTATGAATTGTAGATTACAGAAATACATCAGTTTTCCCGTTTCTAATATACAAATGGGAAATACATGTATTTTTTATTTGAAAATCATCGGCTGTTTTAACATACGGTATTATGACTCATAGCTCTTCGTTACGTCAAATGTATCACGCGTGCCTAAAATAAGTATGACTCAACACGGAGTGTCTGGTAATAATGAATTTCCATGCAGGACTCTCGAGAGAAGGAATTCGTTTGTCGTTTAAGAAAACTTCATTAACACAGAAGAAGAGCAATGACCTGTGGTTCAAGCCGGGTGAAGAGCAGTTCTGTACGAGATGTAAATGTAAAATCCCTTTGCTCAATTATTATTTATTCAGGCTTCTCAATAATTGGGGAATGACCAGATGTTTCCCATAGTTTTGTATTTTTCAGCATCAAATGTTTCACCTGTACTGTTAACCGTGATATGTTTTCAAGTATTAATACACGTAGTTTAACAAACAAAGGGAATTGCTTCACTTACTGGGTGTTTGTAATTTACCTGTAGTGATGTATGGGCGCATTCCCATAGATTTTAGATCGATCTATCCCAGTGGGGAGTCTCGCTAGATTACTGTCAGATAATCCGGCTTAAATGTCCGTCCCGCCTACTACAAGCTGTAAGGGGGTAATTAACTTTCGTGCCCGCTCGGCTGACAGCTATTTAGCGTGAACCCCCAGGGAGTTAGGTCGATCTAGTTGGATCGATCTAATCTCTGGGAATGGGGTCTATGTCTTGATATGTGTAGTTCTTATCAAGTACATGTAAGCATGAGCTTAAACGTTAAAACGGACAACTATAATATCATCTTTAGAAAAAGTTAAGTATATTGCAATATGGAGGTTCACAATCCTGCAGCTCGTTGCTATGGATGTACTGACAAAGCAGTGCGCTGTCATTTACCATTAATTTATTTTCGTCTACCGTGAACCCTGACTTTCACTTGTCACCGGAAACTCACCATGAATATAAATCGCATTCAGAACAGCGGACTTACAAATCCTCGGATGAAATATGGCAACTCACTTGAATGATTGTCACGTAATCCCAGCGGGGAATCTATTCAGTGTCTAATCGGGAATTAAGAGGCAAAGTTTTTAATATGTGGCCATATTTGATCCGCAGATCTGTTAGGCCGCTGTTATGAATGAGCTCATAAACGCACCTCTGCATGTTACTGGACTTGAAAAGTTTCCAGTAATCTCTTATACCCTGGGTGCTCGAGAGTGCAGCAACCAAAATTCTGAGACGCTGAATTAGTTACAAATTGCGATGGCAATGTTTCAGTGATGCTATTAAATATAAAAAGAATAAAAAAAATAATATAAGCAATCGCAACCAGTCTATAAAATGAGTGATGGGTTTACTTAAAACTACTGCAAGGGTCAAATTAATTTCAACTGCGTCTTGGGATTTGCCATTGTTTTGCCCTGGGCAATCACGAGTTGTTTTTGCATCGTCTTTAGCAAAACTTAAAATGACTTGCCAAACCACCGAATATTTTGACGAGGTTCTTCTTTCCCGTTCAGAAATAACATTGCCCTTATGTTTACATGGCGAGATGAGATACCAAAATAGCCATCCACGAGGAATTAACGATGAATTAAATCAATGTTATGTTTTTTCAAGCGGTTAGGCACCCCTAGACATTAGGTGATTTATGATGCTTTTATCTGGGTGCGAATCTGGCACTTACAACCTGCGTTTCAGAGGTTACTGGAACATAAACGCTATTGTCTACACGCCTTATGCGGTCCTTCTTTTATTGGCAGAGTTAGATTTTCATTTCTAGTAATCTTGGTTACTCGGGGTGTACATTTGGAGCATATTGAAAACTACTGACTAGTCTGGAAGTTACTCTCGGCCTCTTGTCCACAATGCAGTATGATCCATGAGCTATGGGTAATTAAAAGGTATTACAACTGTTCGTTTTGGTCTAAAAACGGATTCTCCTGGGATAAAGGACGATTTTCCCGCACTAACCAACATTTAAGGAATCCGTTCGGACATTCAAAGTTAGTCCATGTTTTTTTCTGAAAAGTGTGTTTTTTTGTAATATTCTCCTAAGAGAATGAAGGTCTACCCGGTCTATATATATATATATATATATATATATATATGATGGCAAGCACAGATTTCAGAATAATTGCCATAACCACAGAGAGAGAGAGAGAGAGAGAGAGAGAGAGAGAGAGAGAGAGAAAAGACTTAATACAATATCTTATATATACATGTACAATCAATGTAGGTTATTGTTAGAGTTTACATCACATTCCTTCACAGCGTGAAAATTCATGCGTCTCGATGTCAATAACCACCTATATAATTAAATATTTATATGGGATAATAGTCGCCTAAATGAAAGAGCATGGGCAAATAATGATGAAATCATTTCCATAATTACAAAAATTTGTGCTGTGTACTGTTTTGTCAATGGCTTGAGAAATAAACTGATACTTTTCCAGACAAACAAATTAACGATCCAACTGTAACCAGACGAAATATTGGATGGAATAAAGTATTTTAGTTTTCAAGTGAGGTTATTTACAAGCGTTTACATATTAATTATATAATGTTTACATTGTAATGATGAAATGCCGTTAGAGTGGTAGTTACATGTAGTTGACCAAATGAAAAATAAATATAGAAAATTGGTAAAAGCAAAAGAAAGTGGAAGTAAGGGTATATTCGACTTGAAGGGTTGGATATGACTTGTGTTATTATTGGAAAGATATTGAATTAAAAGACCGAGAGAGAGAGAGAGAGAGAGAGTGGAGGGAGAGAAAGAGAGTCATGGCGAGACAATATCACAAACACGTACGTGGACGAACTTCTTCAACCTTCAGTTGGTTTTATTCTGGAGTACCTTGCTTTTAACCTTATTAAGAGACAAACAGCATGGACTAGATCATCTAAACAGCCGTGAGGTACCCTGCTTCACAGAATACCTTATCACCACAAATCGCAGGATATTTGGATAGACTGGAACAAAGCATTGGAGGCAATGGCGGTTAATAATTCCGCAAACCGACAGGTACTTTAGTACTATCTTGTTGAAAAATGGAACGATAAAAACTAGTTTTAAAACACTCCTGGTTTCCTGGACGATTGTCATATCGTTCATTGTCTATGATGTTGGACGGTTGTTCCCGTAATCAGTATTACCTGTTACAGCAGGTGATAAAATATTTTATGGGCAAGGTGAACTTTTTTGATTGATAGAAACTGTTATTCTTGTCGACGATATAAATCGCATGTTCTGGTGCATTATTAAACCTGAAAATTAATATAGGG